GACAAGTATAATCTGGGGGAAATTATTCATACTGAGCAAAGAAATAATTAACTGCGTGTTTCAATGCAAGATGCACAGAGGATAGGTTTTCACATCAAATTAATAAGGCTCTTTTTAAGAGATCATTTTGCAACCTTGCATAGGTGATATTATATCTTTTCAATAGATAATGTGCAGAAACTATATACAGTTGAAAAAAAGAACTTTGATGAAAGCATTTTTTCCCCTCAAGTTTTACCATAGTATAAAAAGTAACTTATATAACTCCTTCAGTTCTCTAAAACACATATGGAATATCCCAGAAAGAGAAACCAGGAACGCCATCTAAATGATGCCGTGTGCATTTATACAACAGGTAGAAACAACCAGAGAAGCCACCACAAAGCAAAGTCATAAAGTTTACACATAGGAAAAAACAAAACAAACCAGGAGTAAATTTTGTTTACAAACATGAAAACTCATTTAAACATAAATGCATTTTAGTTATAACAAATTAATGACCTTCACTAATCAGACTACTGAATGCATGGATGACTCACACACTAAGTAAATGATAGAAAGAGCCAATTCAATCCCTGCTTGATAAATGGACAGTAAACTTTAAAATCTGCATTTGGTTTCCAATTAATCCCAGCTCAGAACAACTCCTCCCTTAGACAGCCAGACGGCAGCTTCTCAAAACTAATATTATGAACATCTGCCAGTATGCTGCAACAAAAGCCATTAGGGCATTCATGTGCTTCTTCATTTGGTAAGAAAGAAAGTCAGCCAGAGGATGAGCACAGTGCCACAGGACAGCCAACCCCGTCTTTGAAAATGAGTGTCCTGTTCCCTGGGACACTCATTCACCGCCCCACAATGACTTACTTTTGCCCTGCAATTATGTAAATCAAGAGACTTCCTGTCTGATGTGGCTCTCTTCCACTGAAACTACCTTCTCCTTTACACAGGAGCTGCCTGGCATTTGTTTTGCCATTTTGTGCCTGGATGCAAGACTTCATTATCAGCACTGCTTATTACTCTTGCATATCACAGTGATGTGTACTTTTTAGTAGTATTTACAATGGTATCACTGTGGAGAACTAAGCCCTGTACTAGAAACAGTCTCTTTAACAGAGACCTTAATACTAAAGATTTGGTACATTTCTGATCTACAGATAACAAGGCAAAGCTAAAATCAGCCCACTATACATTTGGCATTAGGTTCAAACATGGGGAGAAAGCAAACATCTAGCACATTCCCTTGTTTCAAAGGGATGCTATTTACAATAAGAATTTGCTTTTTTAATATTTCAACAACAAAAACTCAGCTAATTTTGAAATTAGAGTAATCTAAGGCAACTTAGTTTTTAATCAACAGAGAACACAAACAACATTGCTGTTTGCTGTTAAAGACAAATCTCAAAAATGCAGGGAAACTATGATCTGTTATACTATGGGTGACAAATCACTGCCAGTTTAATAACAACAGTAAAAAAAAAACAAAAACACTTTTGCTTTTTTTAAACACAGCTCCTAAAAAGTACGGCATCCCAGTATTTTCTCAGTTCCAGACTGCTGACATTATAAATTAAAGGTGAAAAGAGATCCATATATAAACAAGGCAGCTTTCCACTGACTTCACTGTACTTGGTTCTTGTCTAAACCTTTGGAAATTTAATTCAAATACCATAAGGTAAGGTTGAATTTCTCAGTTACAAAACAACGTCCATTTGTAAGTGGAATTCAGAAAAACAAAACAAAATGAAAACCAAACTCAAAAAACACACACGAGTATTTAGAGCAATCCAGATCTCTGTTTTCCTGGCTTTCATACTTGCATGTTGCCTCGTGGAGAACTGTACACACACAGTCCCCTGGCAAGGCCCTATGTTATGGTACGAGGTCTTTTGGGCGGCGGGGGTGGCATGAGTTCAGTGTCAGGATCAAGGTGGTGCTTCCGCGGCTGTCCTTGGGAAGCTGCTGCACATCTGTCAATGAACTCAAACAGCATCTCCTTCGTCACTGGATTCTGGATGCTGTTGCAGACAGCTGGGAACAAAGAACACATTCTCATATAACTAAACTGATTTGTTCTCGTCGGCACTTCAATAACTTCAGCCCCTCTTGGCAAAATAACAACATACTCTGGCTCAAGTATTAAGCCTTAAACGCGCGCTTTGACAAGGCGGTTGTGTCTGGAGTCACGAATCTCTGCTCTGCCCCCACAGAGAGCAAAGCAATGCAATGGTCCTCTATTCCCACGGGAGTCTCTCTTTCTAAAACAATCTAAAGGCACATGTGTGTCTAAGGCTTCCTGAAGCAACTATAAAACCACCAAGAACTGACAACTTTTTTTTCCACCAGTAAGTACTATAAATACCCTAAACCTGCAATGCATAGTCCTTTTTTTTTTTAACCCATACACCTTCATGGGGCAGAAAGACTTGATACCAAGCAAATGGCATGTCTAGAATACCAGACTATATGATGGAGGAGCAGCCATGGTGCTGCGTGGTGGCCACGGCACACCATGTACAGGCGCTCTTGGGGTACTTAACACAACTCCCCAGACCACAGTTTGTAAGTCATGGTCCATGGGATTTTATGGAACAAATAGGGTTACTTCACTTTAAACAAATGAAATATTTTTTTAATGCCTTCCTATGTAACTTTGTATTCCTCTAAATAATCCTCCTGAGAGACTTGGAGGAGAAAAAAAAAGGAAAAAAGGAGCATGAAATTAAGTGTGAATCCTACAACTATCTTGGAAGAAAGCACAAAATGATTAGGGGGTAATTGATAGCATGTAAGGGCTGGCCACAGTAAGGATGCAATTTCCATGCAAAACAATCTACTGACCCCCTAGAGCACTAAATGTTAGGACTCCTTAAAATGTATTTGCAGTGTAGCATTGTTATGAATAACAATTATTCTCAAAAACATTCCTTTATTTTCCTGCAGAACACCAGAACCAATGATTACTTCACAATTAATAAAGCACCTTTCTAGAATTATTTTAAATTATCTCACTATTTTTGGTGAAAACGTGGTTTAAGAGTTGCACATTTGACTTTAGCAGTTGGGAAGCATTATGATTACCCTTAATTTAGGAACAGAATTCCGGTCTCACTGCAACTGGCATAACTCATGTAACTGGTGTAACAGTAACTCACATAACTGGTGTATCAACTTTTGAGTGCTGCCTTAGCTTAATCACTCAAAAAGACCTCCTGTTTTCAATTTGAAAGGTAACAAAGTCCAAAAGCAAGATTCAGACAGATGCTTATTTTGTTGCTATTTCAACCATGGTGAAAAATAAATAGCATTTTTCATCAGGATAAAGCTTATAGAGGAGAGAGGATCTAGAGAAAGTCTCAAATAACAAAAGTATAACTTTTGGAGATTTTGAAAAATGATCAAAAGTGAAAACTCAAAGCCAAAAGAAAACTTTCTGTTCTGAAAATTCCTATAGAAAATCTGAAATATATCCTAAAAATTCTTCCTGTAGCATTTAGTTTCTTTTGATTTTAATTTTTAGGAAGTTCACTGTGTTTTGGGAGAAAAAAAAGGTCCAGAATAATAAAACTGTTCTACAAATGAAGAAAATTAGAAGAGAACAGATAAATATATATGCTCTTACAAATAAAGAAGAATATGCTATTCATTAAAAAAAAACAAAAACAAAAACAAACAAACAACCCCCAAAAAATCACAAAAAAAAAAAAAAAAAAAAAAGCGCCTCAAGGGAAAACTAACTATTGAAACACTAAGGTGAACCAGAGAAGAAAAATTAAGGTCATGGTCACAAAGAGATGACATTGTACTTGTATGACTTTTGTGGTCCATTCCTCTTTTCTGACAGGACTGCTCAGCAAGTATTTCAGCTACATTCTGTGCTGGTTCCCTAAGGTGCCAATAGATTTATTATCTCCTAGCAAAATGACCACATTGTGTTTACTCAAGAAAATCTACTCACTGCTCAGGCTGAAATACAAGTAGAAGGGTCTAGAGAAAATCCTACATCAGGGTTAGTAATTAGCATGGTCTTAAATATGATTAAATTTCATTTTGGCACTTAAAAAAAGTCAATATGTTTATTGCTATTCAGCCTTGCACACACTTCAATTCAAACTCTTACACTTCACCTCAAGGTATATATCATCCTTTAATTTACAATATTTGGCCAAATACTTTTTGGTAGAGGAACATAAAAGTTTCGCAATTCTGCATAAATATAAACCTTTCATTAGTTTCCCTGCTCCATTGTTTGTGTAACTATTGTTGAAACTCAAGATGACATTTTTCTCCTATTAATTTTCTAGCCCATCTGCCAAATAATGGTTTTGGCATTCTAATGGATTTTTTGTTTAACTAATTCAACTCATAATGTGCCAGTTTCCATTATATCCCAGCAAGCCAAAACAACGCTAGGCATTGATGTCAACTGAAGTGATGCTATTGTAAATAAAAACTTTCTTGGCTCTGACTTGAAAGGCATGCCCTACCATTTAAAGTCATCTTTGCACAAGTGTTTGCAGTTCTGCAAAGACTTAGGCACTTCATTCTGTACTACCTGTTAAATTCTGCATCAGAGTATTGGTTTGACTGACTTCATCAAATAACCTCGCAGCCAGAGGATTCATGCTATCTAAAAACTAGTGATGACATAAGCATTTGCAAGATGAGGCATTACTTTAATAAGTTAGGGGAGTCAAGTCAGGACTCAGACCACGAATGAAAACACAGAGTGCCTTTCGTACTTAAAACGGAACAGAGGTAAAACATTAAAATTTTAGCCTGAGAAATTTCTAAAGCAAATTGTTCTACTCACCCATGGCAGTGCTGTAGGCATTTGGAAAGCTTTTGTCTATCCTCTGTCTCATGAAGACCCAGCTGTTGTTCTCAAACTTGCACTCTATAATTTTGTTGTCGTACTGTTTGAGTTCTTTTGTCACCTGTATAAAAAAAAATTGTTTAGGATAAATATATTTTAATTCACTTTTTTTTCTTTCTTTTAGGTAGAAATAATAGAAGATCAGAAGCTGCCCTGCATTTTTCAGCAATATGCCTCCATCCTACACAAAAAATTTGCACAGAATACATCTCCATTTTACATATGCTCAGCTACTTAACATTTAAAAAATACTTTTCAAATATGCTGTCAATATTCAGCAATTATATTATGCTAAAACATCAGCAGTGCTAACAGAGGGGGGAAAAAAGTCACTTCTGGCCCAAATGCAAATAGGTTTCCATGGGAATAAACTGCTTCCAGTTTAAGTGCTACTGCCAGCCTAAGTGCACAAAATGTATTATCCATGTTTCATCAACCTTCTTTGTTGAAGGTCTCACAGCAAAATGTCAGATTTCAATACTGGGAAAAGATTACAAAAAATGATTTCACTCTTTACATGACTGAGGTTTTTTCTTTTCTTCCTTTTTTTTGCTTCATTTTTCTTTAAAAATTAAGATTGTAACTTCAAAATAATGCAGACTTTCAAATGGCATATATTCTAAATCTCCTTCAGGCCTCTCTTTATTGATTCATAGATTTGTCAGCAGCCTGAGATATTTGTCTTTCTATTTGGCAACACTGTGTGGTTTGGAAATGTAGTTTATATGCATTGGACCTCATAGTTGTTTTGGCTACTTCATCCTATGCATCCTAATCTATGATACAATGCAAAAATTTTCATGTAGCCATGGTAACCTGAGAACCTTATCCAACGCTTTAACAATTTTACCCATATACTTCACTTTGTTCCAAAGAGCCTCTTCAGCAGTATGAAGCTGTATTTAACTGCTAGCTGTGTTTAGTTGCTATAGTTTACCAATAAAAAGCTGTACAAGGTAATGTAACACTTTGGATTCAGGATCTTATGCGTAAGTGCTCTCATAAAAAGGAGGTGGTTATAGCAATTCATTAGCATAATTTTTCACCTCTGTTGACTACTTGCTCCTGAGCAGTGACACGGGAATTTACTACTGACAGAGAGATGCAGATTTGAAAAAGGCCATAGCTGTCTCCAGACAGCTTAATAGCACATACAGGGGGGAAAACCATGACCCCCCCTTTCCATTAACTCCCAGATAAAGACAATTAATTAAGGAAATGGTTCTGAGCATGGATCAAGTCCTCCTATACTGTACAGTACAAGATTTGATAAGCAGAATCCTGACATTGCTGGCGTTTAATCTGAATACTTGTGTTCACTCCTGGAAAAGGAGTCCGAGGATTCTACTTGTCAAGTGAAATGGAATTTTAAGAAAATGTTGTAAAACTCACAATTGAGTCTTGTCCTGCTGCAGGACTGACAGAGTTAGAGTCAGGTTTTCATGTCACACACTATTTTTTATCCATTCCTGCACATGCAAAGAGTTTTTTTCCTCAAATCATTTACTACTTAAGTGGAGTTTATATCTTCTGTTGACCATTAGATTGCTGCAATCTTTTCATTTGCAGAACGCTCTACACAGCACTGCACTTCTTCCATCTGCACTGAAAAGCTACATGCAGTCCACAGGTTTGACAGACACGTGTTTATGGATGCATTATGTTTCATTAGGTGTATATAAGAAAACACAACATCCTTTTCCAGTATACTATGGATACATAAACCCAGGAAAAAAACTCCTGGCTGTGCAGTGCCTTGGGATTATTTTGAAAACAGCTGCCTAGTGGAAGTGGGGGCAGCAGGGGGTATGGCCACATGTCTGACTTTCTGCAAAAGCAGGGAAATACTAGAAAGATCACCTGATAGAGAAGGAAATGTATAAAATTGCAGGTAATGACTTCAACTAACCACCCACCTCATAAGGTTTTCTCATGGCTTATCATTCTTCTAGTGTTCAGATGCTGGGCATAGTAATAAATTAGATGGCAGCTTTATCTGACTGTGGCAATTAAGCAATATTATTAACTATCGAGAGACTTGCTTGGCCATTCATTAGCAATCTGGAAGATGGATCTTTCCACAAAAATATGAACACCTGCCAAAGCATTGACCTAAATGAATTTTCCCATTAGAAAACTGGTGATCACAGCCTTTAATGGTTGCATGTTGTAGTAATTACTTTACAAAGGAAGAAATACAGCACCTACTATTCCCTGTACTTTGTTAAGTGACCTTAGTCTTATATAGGTACTTATTCTAATATAAAATAACCTTTTAGCAACTGCTGAACATTTGATTAAAACTACACATACTCTGAGCAAAACACACTTTTGCATCCACTATTGCATCTTAGTAGACTTCTAAATGGGTACTGTTTATACAAAAGACTGAACAAGGCTGCAGTGATTCTTGTATCCATAATTCACACCTTACATCTACCTACCATGCATATGCTACTTTCTTGTATTTCAGATTCAAAGTGGGACAGGGAAACCATCAAACTTAACTGTCTAGAAATTCCTTCCCTTTGGGAATTAATTCTCAGCTCCTCAGCACAGTGTCTTCTCAGTTATCCCTTTGTAGCGTGCTCATCCCTCCTTCTTCCCTTTAAATATTACAGTCCATAGAAGTATTTGAATAATACACCATCACTTCTCTTCCTGAGAGGTACTTCTTCTAGCTTCTAGTGCATCACAGAAGGTCAATTAGGAATGATGGCAGTTCTCAGGCAAAATGCTTATCCTCAGTGCTGGTACAGTGCCAGTGCTTCTGCCATACTGTTGATAAAAGGCCTTGAGCAAGCACTCAGCAATTTCAAGACAGAAACTCCCACCACACTAAGGACTCCATGGAGCCTCCCTTAATTAAACATTTATTCTTTAGCCTATTTTCAGACAGCCAGTCAGAATTAGAATCCCAAAGGATCAAGTCTTGGACAAGGGGCTGTCAGAGGTGGTCTGCATTGGAACAGTAGCACTGGTCTGGGCAACAAATGTGTCCTGGGCAAGGACAAACACCAATTTGTACACTTATTTCTTTTCAAGAAGAAGGAAATTGTTCAGCAGCAGCAATGTTCAGTGTTCCTGCCCGTAGTTGATTTAATTATCAGGAACCAACCTATTTGCCCAACAGAAGTAATTCCGAAAAACACAGAGGAGCATCCGTTTGGATGATTCAGTACATTACTGCTAGTCTGCAAGGTGTGACTGAAAAAAAACAGGCTTGAGTTGCATCCCCATTTCAGCAATAGTTCAGTATCAAATCACACTGATGTAATAACATGATTGTATCTTCCCCTCCCTACTAAGAAAAGCTTCCCCCATCATCATCTGGGCCATTCACTGGGAAGAACTTCAGTGGCATAAGCTTTTTCTAAGAGTGAAGACAGTTAAGGCTTAGGAAATACCAAATTTTCCAGGCTCCTTCTATCCTCCATATTCTGTAAGAAAATAAAAATATATTTTAAAAATTTAAAATATCTAACCCATTTCAAATTTTCTTGTGTGGCTGAATAACAGAGTCATTGTGAGATGAGTAACATGCAGCCACAGTTTATGTTAAATAAGAGTAAAATGTGAAAAAAAAACCCTAATATATCCAGCTGAGAAAGAGAAGAACCCATTTAAATTGAATGTAAATTGAATATTTTCTCCAGTCTCATGAAGATGCCTTTACTATCTCTGCTGACTACCAGCAGCCAAAGCTTTTCTGTGTCTCTCTACAGGGCACCTATCTGTCAGACTGATCATCATTCCACTCAAACATTAGTCTCATCACCCTTAACTCCAAATGAGAATGAAATTCCTAGGCAAGCTCCTACTCTACATAAGAGGCACTAACAATGCAAATTTAGGTTTTAAGGGAATTAAGTTAGTATTTCAGAAAGCATGTCTACAATGGACAGGCTTGAACTTTACAAATGCATCTACTTTCCCCATTTTCAAGTTCTTTAGAAAGAAAAAAGGAGACAAGTTTTTAAATAAATGGACACTTGGCTTAAAGAAGCCTTATGTTTCCATATGCTTATGTTTTTTTCAAAGCATTTGAAATTATTCCAGTTTAGTAAATAATCTTCTTAAAAGAAAGTGATGCTTGTAAGCAAAATCTTAAAACATTGTATTTCAATTTCTTTTCTCTTTAAATGCCTTTTTGCTGCACTTTCCCCCATTAACAAACACAGATTGAAAAACATTCTTTAATTCACCCATTTCTATTCTTACTCCACATCCCTAGTCATCAGCCAATTTTTAATGTCTCAGAAGAAAATATCATATTAGTAGATGCAGAAAACCTTCACTTACATGAGATAAAAAATGAGCAAAAGCAGCTGTTGAAGTCTTACAAAATTAAAAACATCGTTATTTTCAAATAGAGAATTAAGAAGTAAAATGAACCGTAATATAAAGGCAAGATGGATTCTAAATGCAATGGGTTTCTATTTTCTAAGAAGAATCTGCCTTTTTATAGCTAGCATGAGCAATGAAGGCATTTCTTTTTTATATGCTCAAATACACAAACTGTTTGTTTTGTTTTTTTAAACATAAGTTCCAATGCCTGGAGGCGAGAAAAGTTTAGAGCTGATACATAAGGGCCTAGAAAGTAATTCCTTCTCTTGCTGATATCATATTTTCTCCATTAGGATACATTCCCACAGCCAAAGCGAACAAACAAACATAAGAGGCACATCCCAAAATAAATTATCAGCTGTGTGGTTATGAAGGAAAAACCTTTTGGTTACTTCCCAGTCTCTTACTGCAGAAGAATTGGAGTCCCATACCTCCCCTAGGAGGTCACCCTACAAAAATAAATCACATTCTTGTAAGAACTGTCCAAAACCATGAAATGTGTGAGATCCCTGTCCAAAGGGTATTGGGATATACTCAGCCACAAATGACACTCTAGTAAATAAAACCTCTATAGCAAAACACCACATCTCAAATTCCAATGTTTGGATTAGTCTCCAATGCTGTGACTGCCCTCAACCGCAAAGTATGAGAGACAGATTTCCAAACTTCTCCAGTGGTTTGGAATGTCCAAGACAAGGGGAGAATTAAACTGCCCACTGGTACTATGACTCCACAGCAGTAAGGCAACATCTGAAGACCAGGGAGATGCAATCATAACAGTTAGGGAACAAAAGGAAGAATTACATGGGAACCTGAGGAAACAAAAGGGGTCAAGACTTTGAGGGAATAAGATGGAGACAGAAAAAATAAAGAAGCATCTGTAACAAAATAAAACGGCTTCTGAAGATAGAAAGATAAACCAAACTCAAAGCAAGATCTTTTTAAAGACCAAACACTTAAAGGTGATGAACTCCAAGGACATTCATGCCAAACCAAGGCAACTGAGAGGAAATGAGGAGTAAGAAATTGGGATCCTTTGAAAGCACTTTTACATGTGACTGCTGGTGACATCACGAATATAAGAAATTCTAATCACTTGAGTAAGAACATCTGAGAGAGTCAGTAGGCATGAAGTTATTAGAGCCCCCAGCACCTACAGGGCACAGACCAGCACCAAAAACAGATGCCAAGCTGTTCATTCAGTGCTTCTTCGTAACTCTTGGACTGTTTGTTCAGATGCTTTGGAAGAACTTTTTTGCCCATTCACATAAAGTACCTCATGCTTTTCATAGTCAAACTTCACGAAGAATAAAAAATTTACAAATTGCATGGTTACTAAATGCCTGTTCGCATAAGTTGTGTATACTGAACCACGTGAATACTGTCTGCTGGAAACGGTTATCAGTTAATCTCCTTTGCATTTTTGCTTGAGCCCGAACAGATTTTGTAATGCAGCTTAATATCTATTTCTTTATACAATTCAAGAAATTAGTTTATCAAACCATAGATTTCTCGCTGAACTAAACATACTGATTGTGTTTCCTTTTTAAGGAATGTACTGCCCAACAAATGGTTATCAGCTTGGGTAAACACAATGCAGCTGAGATGGTTATTTAAC